AGCAGGACACCACTACATTGGTTACACCTGGGTCACCTTTTTGAAATGTCTTCACAATCATAACAACTGGAACCTTATGGGACAGGCCCATGAACAAGTTGTAATGAGGTAAGGTAAGGTGTGGACTTGTAACATGTGCCTCAGCTCTCATTGGAAAATAAATACCTAGAAGATAAACTAGGTTGTGAACTTGAAGTCCACAGTAACTGCCCAGGTGCACACGCTTACAGTGCTGAAGTGAGGTGCCTTACCCCTCAAGGGAAGGAGAGTAAGTCGCTTTGCATTTACAGGGGGGAAATAAAGAACGCACATGTCGAGTTACTGTGGACTTCAGGTTCACAACCTAGTTTATCTTATATTTATTTTTCAATGACAGCTGAGGCACATTCAAGCTATAATTAGCCCTTCCAAAAAATATTGCTCTATACACTAAGCAAGGAAAGTTTATATCCATGATTAAAAAAGACAAATCTCTAATTGCTAATAAGATATAGTACTTTACCTCTTTAGTAAAATTAAACATCTTTGCTTTGCAGTCCTCAGTAGAATTTGCAATCTGCATAAAGACACACACAGAAAATAGCAGGTGACATAAGGAATAACTATCTATAAGTCAAAGACATCGCTCTTTTTAGATTCTAGCTAATAAAATCATGCTCATTAACAAGAGGAGAAATAAGATCTAAATTAACAGGAAATAAGGATCATCACTAAATACTTATTTTTAAAAACTATGAAATATTACATTCCTGAGGTTTTGGTATTGGGAAAGTATTACTAAAATAGAAACAGAAAAGCTTCCAGCGTTACCTGTAAGATCTCTACAGAGTTGGCCAGTGGCAGCGGGCAAGGGATGGACCATTTTTTTATTACAATCTGTAAAGAGAGAGTATTTAAGATGAGAGGGCAATTACAGCACTAGGCTACTGGCATGCATGGCAGAATGGGAAACAAAGCCAAACCAACCCGCTTGACTACTGGAGAGTTGGGCTAGGAAGAGAGATGGGGTTTGATAAAAAGTATTACCAAAGCAATTCCCTACAAACAGACGATTAGGCATTAATGGCACACTTGGCGCTTGTCTGCATGGGTAAGCTATTGTGAAATGAGTTATGTGAACTTACAGCGTGGTAGCTGTTCCACATTAATTGTCTGGGTGGACGCTCATAAAGAGGTAGGTACCTGTGTCAGTCTGAAGTCAGACAGAAGGCAGAGTAAATACAGACTAACTAAATAAGATATATGTGGAGAACAAGTTTTCGTGAACAAAATCACTTCCTATCCCAAACTAAAAGTGTCCCCCCAGGGAGTTAGTGTGGAATGGCCATCCTGCGATAGGTATTCTGGGCTGTTTCCTCCATTTGGACGAGCTAAAGAAAAATAACAGCTGGGGTTGGCCAATGCAGCACAGCAAAAGCACATGGTTGATGTTCGAAGGCAAAGGGGAAGGGGAGTCAACCAGAACAAGAGTAAACATTTTCCAAAATGCCATGAGGATTTTCCCCACAGAACTCCCTAACCATGAGGCTGTGTGGTGAGGTTGAGAAGTAAAAGAGAAAATTAAAAGGCAAAATATGACACTTCCCCTTTCAGGAATCCTCTTCTAATCATAGATTTGCTTCTCCAGTCACTGGACTTAGGGTTATGTCAACAGTTCTCATTGCAGTTGCTTATTTTCAGAGATCATAACATCTTTGTAATTATCTGATAGAGGCTTTACACTTGCAATAAGGGGTCAGATTCAGAGCTCTCTGCTTCTTTCCTCTGCCTATCTACAATCAGGTGGCGTGCTCCAGAGTCAGCATTTCAATTCCTGTGCAGTCGAGGGGAGCAAATGAACCCTCTGGCCAGTAACTGTGTGACCAGAGAGACAGCAGGTACATGGCATGTTATCCACGCTGCCTGGCAACGTAGCCACTAACAGCTCTGCCGAGGCGGTAATACATGTCTTAAATTATGCAGCTGGAAAGGAGTAATTACTGGCTACAAAAGGGACAGAAGAAGTGGCATGATCCCATAGCAACTATTGTGCAACTACACACGGCGGATTGTTACGAAGAAAAATGGAGAGGGGATACTACAGATCATGCTTCTGAAACTGTCTGGTGCCATTTTTTAGGGGTGCACTGATAGAGATTTTGGGGGCCGATATCGATAGCCGATTTTTAAGGAGACCTATTGGCTGATACCGATTCAATTTCCGATACCAGCCAGGCAGCTTATAAGTCTGGTGGGGTGGAAAGGAGGGGGGCGGGGGGCAGTTGGGTGAGGGAGGAGTGGGGCTGGGGCAAGTGCTACCCAGCTGGGGCAGGGCGGGGTGGGGGCTCCTTGTCAGCTCCCGCTGCTGCAGGCTGCTGGTCCACGCGCTGTTCATCTGG